ATGTTGACCTAAGACTTTGCCCTGCGGGCTTTCCAAGTTCTGAGGTGGGAGTTTTAAAAGTAAAAATATTGATTGGTCTCCATGGTAACAAAGAACAAACCCACAAAGTGTAACTGCAAACAAGCAGAAATGTCAGTTGAATTTTGATTTCACATTTCCACACAGCTGGTTCAAACCAGTTTAAACATTTAAATACTGCACAAATATTACAACAGAACAGGTATGTATCATACGAAAAATCATGCGAAAAAACGAGCAGCAAGGATGTTCCCGTTGTCACACCTGGATGCTGACTGAGTTGGGAAAATGTACGAGATTGGCGTTTTATTTCTGTTGAGTGCAATTTAATATTTGCCACATGTCTGTTTTTAATGTTATACTTCAATGATGAATACCAGATGGTTAAATTGTTAAATGTGTTGTTAAAAACAATAATAGTTTTTAATCTATGTCTTCTTTAGTTGGTTCAATTAAAAGTGTTGAGTTTAATAATTCAGTTTGCCCTTTTATTTTATTGAGCTAGGTATTTTAATTTAGTGTCCAGGGAAACCACATATTTACAGGTTATGGGCCCAGGGCTGTTTAAATACGGAATTTGTTAATATTTTTTTACCTGGCTAATGAAATTGAATTAATATGGCAACTGAACATGAAAAGTATCGAATACCATTGTTGGATGGAACCAATTTCAGCAATTGGAAATTTAGAATTGAAACTCTGCTGGAGGAATTAGAATTATTATCTTTTGTAAAGGAATCTTATGTTACCAAAGTTGAATTTCTGGATAAAGACACAGATGAACAACGAGAGAGGAAGGAAGCAAGGTTGTTGGAATTAGCGAAACAAGATCGAAAGTGCAAGTCGCAGATTATACAGCGTATTGCCGACAGCCATTTGGAATATGCAAAAGACAAGGCAACTGCTTTTGAACTATGGCAATCTCTCTGCAACACATTTGAAAGGAAAGGAATAGCTAGCCAACTTCTACTAAGGAAGCAGTTACTAACAATGAAGTTTGATGCGAAGAATGATGTTTTAAATCGTCACTTTCTGAAATTTGACAAAGTCATAAGAGAGTTACGTTCTACAGGAGCAACTGTCGAGGAATCTGACATTGTTTGTCATCTACTACTGACCATGCCCAAAGAATATGACGTCGTTGTCACGGCCATAGAGACTCTATCAATGAAGGACTTATCTCTAAGCTTTGTGAAGGTCAGACTGCTGGAAGAGGAGACAAAGAGGAGGGGCGTTGGAAAAATTGAATTTGATTGTACATCACCTCCTACTGCCTTCCAGTCTCAACCAGGGAAAAAGAAAAATTTTCCAGGAAATCAAGGAACTTCTGGCAACTCGTTCAATTTCACTTGTCACAGATGCGGAAAGCTTGGACACAAACGAGCTAACTGCAGAGTCAAATTACCATAGAACCCATCAAAGAAAAATAATTCTGCGAACGTGGTCGACACCAAAAAGGAAGATGCCGCATTTTGTTTTGGAGCATCAAGTGAAGACTGTTCAGCAGATACCATAAATTGGATATTAGACTCTGGAGCAACAGAACATCTGGTTAACAGTAATGAGGTATGTCTCTCTAACTTTAAGAAATTAGAACAGCCTATTAAAATCAAAGTAGCCAAGTCTGGAACTTATCTTGAAGCAAAATGTAAAGGGGAATTGTATGTCACTAGTGTTGTTGAAGGGAAGGAAATTAAAATAACAATCAAAGATGTTTTGTCTGTACCTGGAATTAGTTACAATTTACTTTCAGTAAGAAAATTGGAAATGAATGGTTTTTGTGTTATCTTTCAAAATTCATGTGGCTTGATTAAGAAAGATAATCAAACTGTTGCGGTTGCAAAAAGAAACAATTCTCAGTTATATATGTTAAATTTTTTGCAACAAAAAGCTTTGTCAGCTTCTTCAACTGAAACAGAAATGAAACTGTGGCATGACAGGCTTGGTCATTTGAGCTATGGTTGTATTAAAAGTCTCAGGTCGCAGGTAGATGGGATGGAGTTGAATACTTCAACATTACCCTTAGAAAAGTGTTCAAAGTGTGTTGAAGGGAAACAATCACAATTTCCTTACAATCAGAACAGGAGACGTGCCACCAGACCTCTTGAGTTGATTCACAGTGATTTGTGTGGTCCAATCTCACCAGTTTCATTTGACGGTAAGAAATATATCATCACTTTTATTGACGACTTTACTCATTTCACGGTGGCCTATGCTCTAGAATCGAAGGCGGAAGTCACACGATACGTCAAGATGTATCATGCTTTGGCTACATCTCATTTCAATCTAAAGATTAGCAGATTTCGTTGTGACAATGGTCGTGAATACAAGTCAAATGAGTTGAAGCAGTTTTTTGAGGAGCAAGGAATTCAGTTTGAGTTCACAATCAGATATACTCCTCAACAGAACGGTGTCTCAGAACGAATGAACAGGACTATTGTTGAAAGGGCTCGTTGTTTAATACTTAATTGTGAATTAGGTAAGACATTTTGGTCAGAAGCTGTTCGAACTGCCGTATATCTAATCAACCGAAGTCCGACATCAGCTTTAGGAGGAAAAATCCCTGCTGCTTTATGGTACAATGAGAAGCCTAATCTTAGTAAGTTAAGAGTTTTTGGCTGTGCAGCATATTTGCTGTTACCTAAGGAATTAATATCGAGTAAATTTGACAGCAAGTGCTTGAAGTGTTACTTTACTGGATATTGTCCTAATGGTTATCGACTGTGGTGTCCTGAAGAAGGAAAAATAATCACTGGAAGAAATGTTGTGTTTTATGAGGAAAAATTTAACTTTGAGAGCACACCAATTGAAGACTGGATTCCCGATCATGTACATGAATCCAGATCGAGTAAAAAGGAAGACAAGAACAAAGAAGAACCCAGATCATTGTCTGATGAAAATCAAAGAATTTCTATACCAGATCTTGAAGAAGAGGAAGAAGAAATTGAAGATCATGTAAGTGAAGAAGAAACAATAAGACACTCTACCAGAAAGAGGAATGTGCCAAGACACTTACAGGATTATGCAGTTCTTGCTCTGAATGCTGAATCTTTTGTCGATGATGTACCGCAAAGTTACAAGGATATTGCAGCACGTGATGATAAGGATCATTGGTATCAAGCTGTTAAGGAAGAACTTAACTCTATAAAGGAAAACAAAACTTGGACTTACACTGAACTACCACCTGGAAGGAAAGCTATCTCCAGTAAATGGGTTTTCAAATTGAAGAAAGACATAAACGGAAATATTGAACGATACAAGGCAAGACTTGTTATCAAAGGATGTTCACAGAGAAAGGGTTTTGACTATGAAGAAACATATGCTCCAGTGGTTCGTCTTGCAACAGTTAGGGTGTTGCTGGCTGTAGCAAACGAACGTGGATTAATTCTTGAACAATTAGACGTCAACAATGCTTTTCTTCATGGTGAACTGAAGGAGGAAATATATATGTCCATTCCTGAAGGAGTTGAAGGAACACCCGGCTCCGTTTGCAAATTGCAAAAGGCGCTATATGGCTTGAAACAGGCACCATTAGCATGGAATCAAGCTATTCATTCATTTCTCATTTCAGTTGGTTTCACCCAATCAGAATCCGACAAATGTCTTTACGTTATGATACAAAATGATATTGTCGTGTATCTTGTGCTCTATGTTGATGATATTCTCATGGCAGGAAATAATAGGGAGAAAATCAAGGAAATTAAAGTAAAGTTGAATGAGAAGTTTAAAATCAAGGAATTGGGAGAACCAAAAACATTTTTGGGAATCGAAATCTCCAGGAGTGAGGGGGAAATGTACTTAAGTCAGACTGCCTACCTAAAGAGTCTTCTTAAACGATTTAACATGCAAGATTGTTGCCCAGTCAAAACGCCAATGGAAGTAAAACTAGAAATCAAAGGCGGAAAAAGGACTGATAAGCCGTGCAGAGAAGTAATCGGATGCTTAATGTATGCAATGCTAGGTACAAGGCCAGATTTGAGTGCTATAGTAAATTTCCTAAGCAGGCATCAAAGTGACCCAACAGAAGAACTCTGGAAATGTTTGAAGAGAGTCCTAAGATATATAAAAGGAACAATCGACTTAAAATTATGTTATCGAAAGAGCAAACAAGATGACATTATTCTGGCTTACGCTGATGCAAACTGGAATAAAAGTGGAGATTCAAGATCGACCTCAGGTTATCTCATACAAGTGTTTGGAAGTACTGTAAGTTGGGCAACAAAGAAGCAATCTAGTGTTGCGTTATCATCTACAGAGGCGGAATATGTAGCTTTGGCAACAGCAGCAGCCGAATTACTCTGGATGAAGTATCTGATAGAAGATTTTCAAATTTTGCTTAAGTTACCAATCCGCATCCTGGAAGATAATCAATCTTGCATACGACTTCTACAGAAGTGGGAGCATCGCCGATTGAGACATGTGAATGTTAAATACAATTTTGTGCGGGAACTTCACCAGCGGAGAATCATGTCTGCAGAATATATATGTTCGGAAAATCAGATTGCAGACATTTTTACAAAAAGTCTGCCTGCACCTCGGTTTGGCAATTTGAGAAAGATGTTAGGATTGTTTGTTTGTTAATTGTGTCAAATGTAAAATTATTAAATTGAGGAGGGGTGTTGAGTGCAATTTAATATTTGCCACATGTCTGTTTTTAATGTTATACTTCAATGATGAATACCAGATGGTTAAATTGTTAAATGTGTTGTTAAAAACAATAATAGTTTTTAATCTATGTCTTCTTTAGTTGGTTCAATTAAAAGTGTTGAGTTTAATAATTCAGTTTGCCCTTTTATTTTATTGAGCTAGGTATTTTAATTTAGTGTCCAGGGAAACCACATATTTACAATTTCTTAATGCAATTTTACTCATACCTGGAAAATCCAAATATTTGTTAATCCAAACAAGGTCCGAATTTTGATTAGTGGGACTCTGGTGTATTTTGAATGTTCCTGATTTTGAATGTTTTGTTACTACAATAGAGAGAGGTGAGAAAGACAAGAGCCAGCAGGATAAGCAGCAGTTCTGGAGCGCAGCCCAGAGGCTAATGTCAGCTGTGAAGCCTATTGGAGCTGCAGCTCAAGGACAGGAGCCAAAACCTCTCAAGAATGAAATCACCAACCTCAACAAGGCCAAATGTAAGCCATCCGCAACATTACCATCATAAAGCTTTATTGTTGAGTACACTCTTATTCAAATGTGTTCAAATTCATGATAAAAGAGTATATGTTTTTCACTTTTTATTTCAAAATTCAAAGTCCTGTCAAAGTCTTTGAGGCTTAAAACAATAACGTTTTTGACATTCAATCCCTATGTTAAATTTGTAGCCAGATACTTCATGATAATCGTTGTAGTTGATGTGAGCCCCCGACAGATTGCGCTGATCTAAATTACTAAATTCTGTTGAATACAAAAACTGTTTTACTAAGTCAAACTTTTGGAATGACTTACGGTGAGCTATAGCAACTGTCATGACTCATCAACCTGGTCAGCTACAAAAAAAAAAGGTATAAAATAGAGTATTAGACACTAGCGCATTTTGTGACTCGTTCACACAACTGCGCCCTTTTTCAATAAACAAATGGTGACAGCTGGTCCATATTGATGGGATGTCTACTTCAGTATCCAAAAGTTTTAGCTCTTACTATCTTACATAAGCCTAGTTAAAAAAACAACAGCACTTCTCCCTGTGTACGATTTTTATCCAGACCAAGTGTGTTTGCCAATTTATTTATATTCTAGTGGACGGTGACGAGCTGGTAGAGAGTGTGTTGAGCTCCATCCCCCCTGATGCAATCGAGCGAGGAGTGCCATCCGAAGCACTACTCAGAGAAAGGTTTTTTAAGGTAAAGTATTGTGATTGTAGTTCCAAATATATCAAAGATACAAAGAACGTAATTAACATGTGACACGTGATCAACTTGGATCTTGTAAATTGAAGAAGCTTGCCAGAGCATTAGCTAGTGTATTCCCAGCATATGCCATCAGAGAACCATCAGAAAAGTGACACTGCTTCAGATGCTACTAGCCAAACTTTAAGGTGCTGTATCTGAACGCTGACATTCCTTAGGCTAAGCTTGACAATGAAGGTAATCTTGTTAATAAATGTTCTGGGTTGAAGGTGATTAAGTGTGCAAGAGCATGGACTAGTGTGCCTTTATAAGAAGTATTACTGCTTTAGGTGCTGCTGGATTTCAGGGTGATCTATCTGAATGTTGACATTCCTCAGGCATAGCTGGGTAATGAAGGTATCTTGTTAATGTAATGTTCCGTGTTGAAGGGGATACATTTTCAAGATCGTGGACTGTTGTGCCTTTATGAGAAGTATCACTGCTTTAGGTGCTGCTGGCAAGACATCAGTGTGTTCTATTAAAATGTTGACATTCCTCAGGCGTAGCTGGACAATGAAGGTACTAAACCAAGGTAGGCTATCTTGTTGATATCATGTTCTTTCTCTGTTGAAGGTGATGAGGTGTAAAAGTAGTATCAGAAGAAGTATCACTGCTTCAGGTATCACTATTTCAGAGTGTTTTGTACCTGAACATTGACATTACTAAGGCTGAGCTTGACAGTGAAGGTTTCTTGTTGTGTCAAATGTTTTTTTCTGTGTTGAAATTGATGAAGTGGGCAAGGGCGTGGGCAGGTGTGCCTTCAGGAGAAGTGACACTGCTTCAGGTGCTACTAGCCAGATTCACAGGGCTCTCTCATTGATTTTCCTCAGACTGAGCTCTACAGTGAAGGTTTCTTATTGTGTCAAATGTTTCTGTCAATGTTTCTGTGTTAAAGGTGATGAAAAGTGCAAGGGCGTGGGCATGTGTGCCTCCAGGAGAAGTGACACTAATTCAGGTGCTACTAGCCAGATTCACAGGGCTCTCTATTAATTTGAACATTGACTTTCCTCAGACTGAGCTTTACAGTGAAGGTTTCTTATTGTGTCACATGTTTCTGTCAATGTTTCTGTGTTAAAGGTGATGAAAAGTGCAAGGGCGTGGGCAGGTGTGCCTCCAGGAGAAGTGACACTAATTCAGGTGCTACTAGCCAACGTAAAAGCCTAGCATGAACTCTTATGCTTGTAAAAAACAATTTAAAAATTTGCACATGTATCATAAATTAATGTTTCTATAAGCACTTTATAAGTCTCTCTCAGTTATGTTTTTCACTTAGGTAACATACATGTAAATTATGTTTGTACAATAATTTGAGTTTATTGTGATTTTTAAGTGTCAAAAAATCTTAAATTCACAGTGCTCTCTATCTGAACATTGACTTTCCTCAGGCTGAGCTTGACAGTGAAGGTTTCTTATTGTGTCACATGTTTCTGTCAATGTTTCTGTGTTAAAGGTGATGAAAAGTGCAAGGGGGTGGGCAGATGTGCCTTCAGGAGAAGTGACACTGATTCAGGTGCTACTAGCCAGATTTACAGGGCTCTCTATCTGAACATTGACTTTCCTCAGGCTGAGCTTGACAGTGAAGGTTTCTTATTGTGTCACATGTTTATTTTTTGTGTTAAAGGTGATGAAAAGTGCAAGGGGGTGGGCAGATGTGCCTTCAGGAGAAGTGACACTGATTCAGGTGCTACTAGCCAGATTTACAGGGCTCTCTATCTGAACATTGACTTTCCTCAGGCTGAGCTTGACAGTGAAGGTTTCTTATTGTGTCACATGTTTATTTTTTGTGTTAAAGGTGATGAAAAGTGCAAGGGTGTGTGCAGGTGTGCCTTCAGGAGAAGTGACACTGATTCAGGTGCTACTAGCCAGATTCACAGTGCTCTCTATCTGAACATTGACTTTCCTCAGGCTGAGCTTGACAGTGAAGGTTTCTTATTGTGTCACATGTTTATTTTTTGTGTTAAAGGTGATGAAAAGTGCAAGGGTGTGTGCAGGTGTGCCTTCAGGAGAAGTGACACTGATTCAGGTGCTACTAGCCAGATTCACAGGGCTCTCTATCTGAACATTGACTTTCCTCAGGCTGAGCTTTACAGTGAAGGTTTCTTATTGTGTCACATGTTTCTGTCAATGTTTCTGTGTTAAAGGTGACGAAAAGTGCAAGGGCATGGGCAGGTGTGCCTCCAGGAGAAGTGACACTGATTCAGGTGCTACTAGCCAGATTTCAGAGTGCTCTCTATCTGAACATTGACATTCCTCAGGCTGAGCTTGATAATGAACCTGCTATTGATCCTCAAGAACTTAACAACTATGACATCCTTTCTAGAGCTAAGTATGTAAATTGTGTGTTTTACTGCTATGCTTACTGTACCTTAATACCTTAATACCTTAATACAATTGAATCAATTGTTAACATCTTCTTGACAATCGCCTACAATATTTAAATTATTAACCACAGAACTTAACTTATTTTTATAATTTATCTCATCGTTATCAGTCCATTTAAGCCTTGGTAATAATAGAAGCACAGTGCCAGCATTATTTACATTTACAGTGAAATTAATTTTAAGATGCAATGTTACCGGCATGTGATCAGAACCTATTTGTTTTAGTAGGTACACTAAAATCCCTTATCACATCCAGACAATCTAATGAGACCAAAGCGTAATCTATAACAGATGTCCCTTTTGCACTAATCAAAAAAGTATACTCCCGTTGACTGTCATTTTTTGTCCTACCATTAATTATAACAAACCCATAATTTTCGCACATTTCTAAAATCAGTTTACCTTTACTGCTTACTTCAAAATCACTTTGACTTTCTGACCTTTAGAACAGTATCCTTCAATATATCTAACTGATTAGGAATTTGTTGTAATAATGTACACAATGTAATAATGGCAAGAAGAACTCCGTGATTTTATGTCCACTCATACAAATCCGATATCCACTACTATGCGAAATAAACTATCAATGTCTAGTGCCTCAACTTAACTGACCCCTGTTCGATTGGGACTACTGATAACAAACCCATGAACCTATGAACCGCCATTAAAACTTCACGTAGACGATCATCCTCGGCAAGCACGACGTTATCACAATTAATTTGTTGCTGTCCTATCACATTCCTGGCTGCATCTTCTATATAATTATATGTTAAAGATCTCCAAGAAATCTCTCTGATATAAAGTTAAACACTTTACTAGAATAACTACTACACTTTACTCAAATACTAGATTTTTTTATTTATTAGAATAACTGGTAAAAACGTAGGAGCTAACTAAACGGCCGTGTGCTTGAAATGCAGTCAGTACTGCCAACCTTCCGTTAAAACTAATGTTTAAATGGATCTAAGTGGAAATCCATTCAGGCACATTGAAATTCGCTTAGTATGCGGGTTTGCTGCAGTGGGGATATTTATTTAATAATAACAAATGCAAACAAAACTAATGACACCCAAATGACAACCTGTGTGTTTGAGGTCATGTTCAACAATGTTAACATCCCGCTAAAAATATCAGCTGCTGCTCAGAAGCAGTCAGTGTTGCTAAAGCCAAAAATATAAATAGCCAACCTCGTATCACATGATTTTTCACAGTCTACTTTATCCATTCTACACAATGTTTTCATTTATACTCTGATAAAATTTATGTTAGTGACATTTTTGTTGTCATTGGTTTTGTTTGTAAATAAAGCCATAATTTTAAATCCTGGAATAACACAATTGGTTATTGACCGAGTCTTGTATGTACAGATACTATGTAGACAGAGGAGAGTTTGACCAAGCCATCCGCTACCTGAACCTGCTACAAGGACCTGCAGGTCTGGTAGCCTCAGACTGGGTCAGGGATGCTCTCATGTATCTAGAGACTAGACAAGCTGCCGAGTTGCTTCTAGCTCACGCCACCACACAGCTCTAATCACACTGCATCTGTGTTCACATTGTTAAATTTGAAGTTTAATTTATTCAATTGTTTTATAACATTTAAAAAATAAATATTAAGTCTTGAAACTTTTACTTGCATTTTTTGTGGAAATGCACTATAACTCATATTATTACATTTTTATGCTAAAACTGTACTAAAACTGGTTACTAAAACTGTTCAGCAAAACTGTAAATCTTTCATTACAACTCTTTTGTCTGAAGTATGACATACCTGCCGAGCAGCACTCCAGGCAAAAATGTCTTTCCCTAGCAAGTAAACTTCCTCTAGAAAAGTCACATCTTCCTGCAGCAGCCTGTAGAGATGATACTGACGTCGTAGTTGTAAACACTATACAAGGAATGAACTCGTAAAACACTAGAGGGCTCCACATCTTTGAATTTCATTGACTTAACATTTTTTAAACAATAAAACATACTGTGACCTAATGCGGTTTGAGTTGGGAGGATTTGATACCAAGAAATATTTGACCTAACAGAGAGGTTAAATGATGTTGGTGTAACACTTAATTTTCATCAAGTGAGAGATTTTTCTGGGTTTTTTGTTAAGTTGGGATCATATTTTATAGTGAGACCCTAAACATTACTGGGAGTTTTTCTGAATAACACCGTGGTCAATCATTTTCTGAGTAGCAGCTTTAAGTCTGGACTGTATCCGGATGTAATCAGTTCCCATTTATCATTAATTGAATTAACTAATTATATTTTGTAACACCTGTTAAACATTATGGATACAGAAGACTCCCTTTTATCCAGAAACCTCTTATCCAGATATTGGATTAACTACACTCGGCAGAAGTGACATCTCTTTACCAGACATTTTTTTCAGCACATCGGTTTAACTTGACTGGACTGACAGGAAGTGAGCAGTCTTTTCTAATAAGAAAGATTTGAGACTAGTGACCATGTAGGAGGTACTGTAGTCTACTGAAGAGTGAAACTACATATGTTTGGACTGTTTTCTGACAATTGTTCTACCAGCAAAGGGTTACACTGAAAGTACCTGAACCTGATCAGTATATATTAGTACTGTTTTAGAATTCGGCTGAAGGTACTGCAATCAGTCTTCTTGTCCTATGTCTGAATCAAGTGCTTGTCTTACTTGGTCTTTAAAGTTCAGTCATGTATGAGTTTCTTGATTTTTGTTTATTAACTGTTTCCCAAGCATTTCAAGACTAACTTTTATAGCCCAGGCAAATTAGACATATGCTCCCCAAAAAATCGTCTAAAGCTGGAAAGTGTTTTAATACCTTTTGGGGGTCCCAAATAAGACTCCTGTGAGTTTGCGACGGATTCTGACGTCTGCTTAAGTTTTGGGAGTCGAAAAACTATGAAAATTTTGCACTTTTTTCAGTTTTTCGCTTATAACTCCTAAATAACGAATCCTAAGGAAAATGTTGTTCGAAGGTGTCTTTTAGTGCATTAAATTCCGCGTCGATTGATGTTAAATACGTCAAAATCGGCCGAGCCGTTTAGCCGCTGTAGCTTTTCAAAGTTGGGATATTTTCATCAACATGGCCAAAAGGTTGATTATTTGGCCAGTTTTCGACTTACAACTCCTAAACAACGCATGCTATACAAAAATGCGCCTGTAGTTAGTTTGGAAAACACAAAATTTGGCGTAGAATTATGATTATGAATGACTAGATAGTGGTTTATTTCATGGTTATCATCCAGAGGTTTATCCAAGAATGTGTGAAGGGAAGGGTAGCAAGACCCCCTATGCAATTTTAAATCTAATATTGTCGAGGGGGTTACAAAAATTCTAGGATTCGTCCTAAGCTCCCATTTATACGATCCCATCTCTGGACACTCCCGAATGATGTTAAGCGATTCTAATATATAATAAGATACTACAACGAGAAAGATTTTATTAAATATGGCAAAAATGTTATTTTTTAGCTTAATAAACGAAAGATGATAATGTGACGGATGTACATAGTTTTACTATGTATTTAGCCTATTAAAAAAAAAAGATTGGGACTTTTCGTAGATTTTACCATATAATCTTTCTACTTCTCATCATTGGAATCTTAAGAATAAGGATTCATTCTTTGCTCTTATAGGTCTTGCCACAAATGGTGACATTCGGTACCATCTTTTTCGTCAGATATCGAATTGAGATAATCGTGCCCCTTGCAAGTCTTTCAGGCAGTAGTGCATTATATCCCCGCATTTCATATGGAGCGAGAAAATGTAAACCTTTTTAACACGTACACGATTGTCGAGATAGGTAGACGGAGTTGAGAAATTCTTGTCGAACCGGTGGATTAGCCGTAGTGATGGGAGTTAACCCATTGACGTTAATTTTCCATACCTATCTCTCTGAATTAAGTACAATTTTAAATTAGCTCTAAAGGATTGGTGGATGAGCAGCCCCTTTTGTTAGAATCAAAGTCAAAATTAGTTGAAAGTGTCCTCTAGAAGAGACCAACCCTCACTTGATTTGGATATTTTCTGCTCCCAACCATGTATAGGGCCTACCTGCTTCTGCAACTTCGCCAAGCGTTGTAACCCGTCAGAACACAGTGAGATTCACATTGATTGGAGTAAACAGCATGAGTAGTTTTAGGCTACATGAATAGTTAGATTTTCGACTCTTCTACATCACGCATTCTTCATCAAATTGCGCTAGTGGGTACGGACCTATTTTTAATCCAAAGTATGATTCAAATTGAGGCTTGGATTTAATGTGAAATATCACATGTTGACTGAGGGGGCAGATTCTTCTTTGACCTTTGCTGTTGCCATCACAGCTCGCGATTAATGTCACCACTTACTTTTATTCTGCACAGTTTATGGTCATTATAGGCTTGCCTATTTACGATTTTCTTGCAAGCTGTGCCTTTCCATTATGCTTTATACATATCTCGCGTTGATGCTATCATATGTGATAACTGCTGATCTGATTGACATGAGCGAACTATTTTCAGTAAATGGGTCGTGACACTGGAACCATTTGATGAATTTCTTACTGGTATACTTGTATACTTGTGTTGATCCCACTAGTAGCTTTCCAGCCGTGGTCGTCAAAGTTGTTTAATTTTCAGGTAGGGCCTATCTTCTCTTAATCCTCCAAAAATTCTTCCAACTTGTAATAGGCCTTTTCTATTAAATAATTTTTGAGGTTTTTCTTGAATAAATTTTTGTCTTGGCAGCTTCTTATTTCTTCTGGCAATTTATTATATATCTTACTTGCAGTATGATGTGGTCCAGCTGTCACTAATGATGTTCGGTGACAATTCAGGTGTATATGGTTTTGTTGCCTGGTGTTGTAATTATGTACTTCGTGGTTGCGTTTGAAGACTTCCGGAAATTTCCATATCATCATAGCTGATTCCAATATATAAACGGAGGTAAGGGTGGGAACTTTAATATTAATAAAAAGTGGTCTGCAATGTTCTAAAAAATGGGTTTTACAAATTATTCTAATAATTCTCTTCTGTAGTAGAAAGACTCTGTTTGCTTCACTGCTGTTGCCCCAAAGTACGATGCCATAACTCAATACGCTATGAAAGCAGCCATAATAAACTTTCATCAGGATATGATGATCCACTATGTTTTGTAGTCTGCGCATAAGACAACATAACAAGTCTTGAGGTTACATGATCAATGTGGATATTCCATCTAAGGTTATTGCTTATTTTGATTCCAAGATAGTTTACGTTATAATTTATTTTTAAGCTTTGATTTTTTAATTTTTCTTTTTGATCCCACCGTATCCGTGGAGTTTATATTGTCAACTTGCTGATAATATGTTGAAGAGGTGATCCCACGATATACCTTAACTTGATGGGTAGCATTCACTGCGATGGGCCTGCCAGCGAACCATCGGGCTAGATCCACATCATTGATTCCCCTATCTCGGAAAAAGCTCTTCACAGTAAGATGTTGCTCTCATGAGCACTTACTTGTTCATAGGCCATGCTGCAGGATCCATGACGTCACACTAGTGGATAGATTCACTGCCATATCCCCTATGTTTTTGGTAATTAGGCTGGTTGTTTGCCAGATTTCAATGGTAAGATTTTAAACTATTGACAAGCATCTGATCTAGTGTTAACAATCAATAGCGGTTAAATGGTGAAGCCGATCTTAATGAATTGGAAAACATTCTACGTAAACCTCTAGATGACCATCATGGAATAAATAATTAATAATTATAATGAATATAATAAATAATTCATTCAGAATATCTAATAATTCATAATCCATTTAAGGACAGGATCTATGTTGTTATCAATTTTATTAAAATTTCCCAACTTTAACTTTAATACTTTTTTTCAATGAAATGGCGTCCATACAAAGTAGGTAATTGCCGTTATTGATTAATAAAAAAAAACATTATACGCAGAATTTTGTGTTTTTCAAACTAACTAAAGGTGCATTTTTGTATAGCATGCGTCGTTTAGGAGTTTTAAGCCGAAAACTGGTCAAATAATCAACCTTTTGGCCATGTTGATGAAAATATCCCAACTTTGAAAAGCTACAGCGGCTAAACGGCTCGGCCGATTTTGACGTATTTAACATCAATCGATGCGGAATTTATTGCACTAAAAGACACTTTTGAACAACATTTTCCTTAGGATTCGTTATTTAGGAGTTATAACCGAAAAACTGAAAAAAGTGCAAATTTTCATAGTTTTTCGACTCCCAAAACTTAAGCAGACGTCAGAATCCGTCGCAAACTCACAGGAGTCTTTTTTGGGACCCCCAAAAGGTATTAAAACACTTTCCAGCTTTAGACGATTTTTTGGGGAGCACACCCTATATTTGATCTAATTTGCCTGGACTATTAGTATGTGCTTTACTCTTCCCTTACAAACTAGATGATGAGCAGTATTTTACAACTAGAATGTTCTTATTGGTTATTATAATTTGAAAGTTGGTAAGATAACACAAATCAAACATGAATTGAACCAATGCACGCAAGCGATACAAAACATATTCATGCCTCGAAATTGACTTCAGCCACTCCCTTGGTAGATTTCTCATCCTTATGGAACAGCTGAAGCCAATTTTATTGTTAGTTCTGTGCGGTGCACTGTAGAGCTAATGTTTTGTTAACAATTT